CCACGTGATCCTCATGTTCATCGACATCACAATTTCCCACACTTGTTTCACCAACTTCTTCGATGTTATTTGGATTTCGGCCCACTACACTTGAAAGTTGTTTCAGCCTTTGTACCAGGTCTGCCTTTACACCTTCAGTAGAGACACCAACCGCACGGCAAAGTTCTTCCAAATCGCCCTTTGATAGGTTTGATTCTGACATATTTCTTCTTTTTCGTTTCCGGTTTTTTTTTTTTTTTTTTTTTTTTGAACGTTTCTAGTCAAAAAGTGGGAGAAAAAGTAAAGAAAAGTAAAGAATATACAAAACGTATGTAATATGAAGTATGTTCTTTGTGAGAAAAAGGCACTGTACGTTTTCGTTTTTTCTTATTATTATTATTATTATTATTATTATTATTATTATTTTTTTTTTATGTTTCTAGTCAAAAGTGGGAGAAAAGCAAAGGAAAGTAAGCATATAAGAAACGTATGTAATATGAAGTATGTTTTCTGTGAGGAAAAAGGCACTATAGACAACGTAACTAAAAAAGCCAGACCAAAGTCGGGCAGCGAAGAAAAAAGCACTAAGAGACCTACAATTACCCAATTGCCCCTAATTTATATCCGTATGTTTCACATACGTCAAAATGTCGTCATAGACTCAAATGGGACCAGGACTGACGATCCTCGCGATAATAACCTTAGCACGATTATCATCGTGCCTCAGGTCAAGAGCAACGTACAACATATACATATAAAATGTTATAACAAGTTACGATTCGGCACACCCGATGCCTTTAGTTTCTACTGCATCACTACCTCTATAATAAAAAATATCTTGGAATTGTTCGGGAAATTCTGAAATTATTTCGGAAAATCGACTCATTTTCGAACATTTAAAGGATGTTTATTGGATGAATGCGTTTTTTTATACGTTTTTTATACGATAATTTTATCAAAAATTTTTCTATATTTTACATCCCGTACAAACGTCGATATAAAACAGTAAAAACATAAACTCTGTTCGGAAAATCGACTCCGTTCCGAACATTTTTTTGGACAATGCCTACAATAACAGTACAAACTTTTTTTATAGGGTACTTGAGATAGCCAAAGTTACAATTACTGTGTACGTATGTATAATAGTTAATGATAACATGTAATAATCAAAGTTATAAAACACACCTAATTTTTAATTCACAAACTGATAAATAAAAAATAATAAGAGGTTGCTTTGTAATAAATTTATTGAAAAAAAAAGATAATCAAGATATTTTTTTTATTTTTGTTTTTTTAAATATTAGTAGTAAAAAAATCTTATATTTTATTTTATAATTTGACCAAATAACTTAAAAATGGTTATAATTTTTTTTAAAAAATATGACCACATTAACTGTGCAATATATAGATAAATCTTAAAAACTTATATTCCTAGCCCTACAAAATTTTATAGAAGTAGGATGTCCACTTTGAGCGGCTTTCGTTAACCACATTTTGCCTCGTTCAGTATGACCATCCATGTATAAAATACCACCTAAATTATACATAGCATCAACGTTTCCTTTTTGCGAAGATAACTCAAAGTACCTTTTTGCTTCTAATTTATCTTGAAGAACACCTTTTCCAGAAAATAAACAATAACCGTAACTAAGTAATCCATTTGAATCCCCATAATCAGCTGCTTCTTTATAATATCTCATTGCAGCTTGTTGAAGGGGTTCTTTTGTTTCTTCAAGGACGTCTTTATAAAATTGTGTAGATGCATTGAGAATTTTTTTATTGTTCTCAAGATAATACCCAATCCAATAAGTAGCTTTAGGGTCGCCACTATCATTTCTGATTTTAATAAAACTTTTCCATGCATCAAGAGTATTACCATTAGGCTTTTTATGCTGCTCTATCGCTTCCTCCAAAGTCATGGGTGAATAACTAGGATCATAATGATAGTTGATATCATCATTCTTTAAGTCTTCGTCAAGATTGATTCCGTATATATTCCAGTTACATGCTTTATCCACCTTTTTTTCGTCTGCATTAATTATACAATAGTTGAGAATAATTTTTTCCTGAGGATTTGGCTCTGAACTAATTTCTATTGGTTCTTCTTTCGCATCATCTGAACTTTCTTCTAGATCCTCATCTGATACTTGTCCTGACGACTCTTGAGAATTCTCTTGCCCTTCTCGTTCGATTCCCAATATGATGGTATTTTTTGCCCAATTTTTAAGAACAATCTTATAATTGGATATGTCTTTAAACGGCTTAGGCACTAAAGAAGTCACAAGAACATTATCGGCATAGATCTCTTCATCTGTTTTCAATACTATATCAGATTGAATGTCATCTATTTCACGTTCTCCATAGATGACCTTAATATCCCTATAGTTTAACTCTGAATATCCTTTCAATTTGGCAAGTACAAACCATAAAATTTTCGTTTCATCTTTATTTAAACTTTTTAAAAAAAGGATTTAAAATAATTATTAAAAATAATTATTAGAATTATTAGAATAATTAATAATGATAATTAATAATGATTATTAATAAAGTGTTATACCTTATACCACTATTATTGTGAATGAGTGCAACACATCCAGATTTACTGATGTAATCAAATGTGATTGTTACATTCGGAACAGTTTCCCAGTATTCATTTTTATCAGAGATGACTTTTTTTACAATTTCACCATATACTTGACAGCTCTTATCGCTTTCTGAAATTGGTCCTGGAAAATCAATGATAACACTCAATTGATTATCTAAGGTTAAGAAATTTTCCCCTTCGAAAACAATATGACATTTATCATCCAAAACAACTTCCACATCACTACATGATTGGTCTAAAACTTTGTACGATGGCTCCCAATCTTCAAAAGAAATAATTTTCCATTTTTCGGGACTATCTTTGAGAGATTTCCACCAATCTTCTATCTGATCTTGATCAATTACTTGTCCACAATGACTGAGAAATAATGAAGTATCAATATTGTATTTTTCACTCAATTCTACTAAACGATTCTCAATTTCTTCCTGAGATGTATTAATATCAATTTCTATTTTCGAAGTTTTAACTGAATTTATTTTATAAGACTCATATGATCGTTTTAAAATTCCACCAATAACAATAGTTTTAGGTAATATATGTCCATAATATCTATTAAATAATTCAGAGAGTTCTTTATAGGGTTGATGGCTTTCGATAGCTTTATCAACCTCTTCAATATACGGTTCTGATGCTTTTATGTATGGTAAATCGAAAGAAAGTCTTGCTGCTTGATATATAATTTGACAAAAAACTTTTTTGGAAGATTTATTTTTAGTGGTTCTTAAATCTTCTACTGGGTAATTCAATGGTGATTTAAAATCAGTAAAAGGAGTTTCACCAATTCTCAGTTTATCTGCCATTTTTAAATCAATGCCATTGTCTAATAGATAAGCATCTTGCTGATTGTTAGGTTGCACTAGTAAAACAATAAGTTTATTTATACGGGTAATTTCAGGTTCTCTTAAAAATTTAAATGCCTTCTTATTTCCATATTCCAATTTTGAATGTTGTAATAGAACTCCATACCGCAATGAAAGTTCTTCAATCCAATCGCGAACATATGGTAATAAAGAAGATTTTGATGATGACGTCCATTCTGAAAATGTTTCTTGCTCGAATTCAGGAGGAAGTTGTGGAATTAGTATTGGAAGCTCATCAGCAGGATTAAATGAATTTAAAGAAAAGCATTCAAAGATTTTTTCCTTTAAATCCTTAAAATTATTATCCAATAATTCATAAAATGGTTTATAGCTTTTATATAAAATCAGTTCGACGTCTTGGCAGTCGTGCAAGTTTTTTAACCATGTATATAAATCCTTAACATTATCCATAGGTCTTGAAGGAAATGTTTCGAAACGTGGAAATCCTTCCAGTAATCCATTTTCAAAAATTGCATGAGTTTCACCTTTCGCGAAGTTTATACCCCATTTTAGGTACACTTGGAATCTTAATAAGCTTTCATCATCAATATCATGAGCATCGATCATAATTGCACCACCGATAGTAAATTTAGTAATTATGTAGTTGCCATATTCAGTAAATATTTCTTTTAATTTAGTTCTTTTTTCTTGATTATCTAAAATCTCAAGAGCATCTTTGATTTCGTGAATAAATTCATCAGTTAAATGGCCTTCATATTCTACATCAGCGACTGGAATATGAATTCTTATAAAATCCACACCGTATGGGACTTTTTTGTCTTTACGTGGAAACAGAGTAAACTTATTCAAAAAGCCCCATGGTTCAGTATTTACTTTTGCGAGATAAACGATTGGGGTGAAATGCTCTATCTTCTCAGTATTGAATGTTCCATTGTCATCCAAGATGTGTTTTGCTCCTGGAACAAAATCATAACCATCTCTATTACGTCCCTTGGTTAAGCCGAAACGTTTAACGAACACTTTCTTTCTTTCTCTTTCTTGTTCCAGAAAGTCAAAATCTAACAAATGTTCGGTATTTAAATCAAAAGCATCATCTGGAGTAATATCAGGAGATAAAGGAGTATCTTCAGGGTCAGGAACACGATCTTGCTCTTGTACCAGATTTTTATCCACATCTTCATATGAAATCTCTTTCAGTTCCTCAAGAATGTCATTACAACTAGGCCTTTCATCTATAATTTATCAAAAAATATGTTAATATCCAGTCAATTTATGTATGATCGCATTAAAAAAATAAAATTATAGTAACCTGGATTTCCGTCCCAACATTTTATATATATCTCAACATATTTATTAGGTGTTCCTTTTATTGGCGATTCCCGAAAACCATCGATTACTTTAACCACAAGTGTAATATCGAACCTGTTATTAAATGGTGGGTTGCCATTATTAGAGACCTCCCAAAATAATACACCTAAGCTAAAAATATTTAATTTCGTTCCATCTTTTTGTTTGTTTAATTGTTGTGAGGTTAAAAGCTCTGGAGGTTTGTAAGGAGTAAACGGAAAACCATCAGGAGTATTAATTTTCGATACCCCTATGCTGGTTAATTTTGGAACTGAATCATGTATTAAAATGTTCTCAGGATGCTAAAAAAAAAAAAAAAAAAAGGAAAATTTTAAATTATTATAAATATAAAGCTAATAATGTATAATAATGCATAGTTTTATAAAAATTAAATATTACCAACTCAACGTGAATGATTTTTTTATCGTGGAGAAACTTTAGACCAACAACCACTTGACGTATTAATTCTACTTTATCCTCCCAGGATATCTGAGAATTTTTTCTCAGATAAGTACGCAAATCCAAATTATTTGTGCACTCACGAACGAAATAATAATTCATATTCACTGTTTTTCAAAAATAAAAATAATTAAAATAAGATAATTGCCTCTACTCTATTATAAATAGATAAGCTTACCTTTCGTAAGACCATAAGTCTTGAGAATATTTTCATGGTCAAATTGCCTAAGCTGTAATAAATACGTATTGGTTAATAAGTCAAACCTTATATTTACAAAGTTCACGTAGACACTTAAAGAGAAAATAATCTGAAGCTGTAAAATAATTCGAATCCTGTCAAGTATGCTACTGCACTTTTTACTGATGTTATTGCATATAATGTTGATTTTAAAATAAAGGTTCTTTAAAATAACTTATGTATATGTATTAATTTGACAGCCCCATCAATGTTTCCCAATAATATTATTTTTAAAAATATATACCTCGAGCAGCAATTTTTTAATGCCTTGTTTATCACATTTTTCATTTACTAATAACTTTAAGGTTACTTTCTTATTATCGAAGGCGAATATTGGAGCATTATTTGATGTATCATCCTTCAACTCTTCAAAATTTTCGTATGGAATTATTGGTATTTTTTTTTTTTGAACTTGTTCGTAAGTCGTCATAATTCTAATACGTATGCTAGAATTTTTTTGTTAATGCTCAAAAATATTTAACGAATCGCGATGCTATGTGCATTAGTAGTGATAGGATTTGTTTTAAAAATAACTGGGACAAGATTAACAATGCTAATTCTTATTTTATAGTGACATTAAGAGCACAAACTTTTATTTAAATTGCCAAAAATTCCGTTTAATTAAGATTATTTCCGGCGTAGTTTAAATTGGCTGGAAATTTTATAATATAAATATACGTACATACGCGTGTATAGTATGTAACACAAACAAATTAACCTAATGATAGAATCGAGTACTACGTACTACAATATCGTACAGTAGTAGTACAGGCAGAAACACGAAAAATACACCAATTTTTGATAGCATACGTTTAATAACATTCGGAGCTCATTCCGGAGTTAGGGCTGACCAGATTTAGAGATGGGTGCTGCCAAGGGAAAACCCGGAATTGTTAGTTTGCTGGTTGTAAGAAATTCCAAAATTAAGAATTCCAGATTTTCCTTAGCAGTGCACAGATAGCGATAGTCTTACAGCCGTTTTCAAAAAGGTATGAACAGTTGCAGATGGGGAATTCACGATATTTCTCAGATTTCCGGAGTTTAAAGACTCACTCTAATCGGGAAGCTTAATTTTTACTAATCTAAATTTCCAAATTCTTCGATTTTCCACATAGGTGTATGAAAATTGTTGTTCACATATTTTTGAAACGGCTATAATTGACTGAGATGATTGTCGTGAAATTTACCAGAATCTAAATAAGAGGGCAGTTTCGAATAATAAAACTTTTTTTATTTTTATTTTTTATACATATTGTTTTTGAGAGCATAAAAATTTTTGTTATTATAGGTGCATGAAACATTGTGGCGTTCTGTATACTATGTAAATTGAAAATAATCATATTTGACTAAATAGTTGATTCCTCTTTAATGATGAATTGATAATTCGAAAAGACGAACTTGAATTACCAATTTAAAGTGATACTTAAGTTTACAATTATGGCAAAACATCATTATGGTAGTAAAAATTTCACATTAAAGATGGATATTCGTGAACAATTGAAATGGTTCGAAAGATCAATTGTTGACGTTCTCTGTATTCACGGTCTAAATGAATTTCTTTATTGAGTTGTCATATTTCGTTAACCGCTAAGGCTTATTAAGTTACAGCTGATTTGAAAATTAGTGTGACACTTGAAAAATTTACTTGTTAAACCTTTCGAGATTTGTCTTACGAATCATCTAACTCTTCGGAAATCACATCACTATTTTCGGATCGAAATTCCGAAGAGACGTAATTTCCAAAGAGTTAGATGGTTCATAAAACGAGCCCGAAAGGTTTCTGGAAATAATCAATTTTTCAAGTTCCAAATCGACTGTAAAGACATAAATTATGATTTTTGGTACTCTTAAACTTCATTTTTACAATTGTACCTTGGGATTAGGATGAGTGCTAGAATGGTCTTTATCATGTTACAGCTGTTTCATAAATCCTGGGACACCTAAAAATTTTCTCGATTCCCGGAATCTTTTCGGTTTCGTCCGGTAAATTACTAACTCTCCGGAAACAACATCGTTATCTCCGGACTGAAGGTTCGAAAATAGCGATATAGTTTCCAGGGAGCTAGGTATTTACCGGACGAAACCGAAAAGATTCCGGGAATCGAGAAAATTTTTAGGTGTCCCAGAATTTATGAAAACAGCTGTAATGACTTTTATGATCGGCATTATTATGCGATTTTCCTATCAAATTCGTATCCCAATCAAATTCGTATACAGTCTTCCCCCTCTATAGTCACCCCCTATATAAGCACAACATATAAAAACCTCTTTATAAGCACATCTATTTTAAAATCAACTATTATAAACATATAGAAAAAAAACCTCTATATAAGCACAATACTTTATAAGCACATTTTTAAAAAAAAGTTACTATGATCCCGACGGTGTGATTATAGAGGGGGAAGACTGTATTTTGATCTATTGTTGATATAGTGATCAAATCTTGATTTTAAACTATTTGAATTATTTTAACAAAAAGATCAAAATGATGCCAAAATTACCAAGATCTGATTATGGATCAAAATATACGAATTTGATATTAAAATTGCACATTATAATATAAATTGAAGACTTTTTTATCACGTATTTGCTATGTATTATGTGTACGTAAGTTAAGTATAATGAGCCATATTTTCTTTTTTAAAGCAAATATTAATTGCAATTTTGTACTGTACTATTTACTACATGAGTATGGACTAGAAAATCCCTTCAAAAACTAATACCGAAGGGATTTTCCTAGTCCATTCCCAATATATTCATCTGTTTATACCTTGATATATTTATATCAATTTATGATACTGTAATATTGTAAAGAATCAGTTGCTCTATATTTTACATCGTTCTTGGAGCTGGCTTTATTTTTCATATGATGAAACCAATTAGACTCGATTTTAACAAGTAAAAATAAATCGTAGTTTTTATGCCAAATTCACAGAAAATAATGAATTATACAGTCTTTATAGATACTTTAAACTATACAATAACAATTAAACAATGTAAAGAATAAAAAAAAGCATCAATCACATCAGCACATTAAATTGCGCTTCAATCAATCAGTAAAAGCAGTACAAATATAAGTGTAAGTTTACACAGGATAAATCAATTAATATCGGGTACATACCGGGAGACAAATTTCCTGATATGTACTCGATAGTCCGCCATAGATCCGCCAAATACCTGCTGTATATCAGCAGCATATTGGCATATTGGTAAGGTATCAGGAGATTGATCGTTATCAGTAACATAACAGCAGCAAAATATTGGATATTCCGATATTTTACTCTTAGGCCCCAGAGTGCTAAGAGAGTAAGTTACGTATCAGGGTATCTGTCTTACCAATATGCTGTTATCTGGCATTTATATGACCATTTTTTTTTTGCCATGATATTTTTTTGATGAAAAAAATTTCCTGTTGTTTTTTCATCGCCTGCCCAATATTGTATACTTGTCTTCCGGTATGTACCCAATATTCATTGATTCAACCTGTGTTAGCCTTAAATATTCTTATATTATACATTCTTAAAAACTTGTGCATGTTCAAAACTTAAGCAAGCTGGCTAGATATGGAGATGCGTTAATGACTCGTGACATTTTCTATTGGTCACCGGATTCTCTTAATTTATCTTTTATTGGTAAAATCACAATGATTTAGTGTATGTACCTCCAAAAATAGTGTTATAAAAGTAACATGCTGATTTTTTCACAAGATTCATGATCAAAACAAAGTAAATAGCAATGACAAATAAGGATTCTATTTGCAAGTTTATAAATAGGCTTTCAAAATTATTCAATTCAAATCATAGTTTTAATAGATAAAAGTAACCAGAGAAACTCATCAATGAACTTTGAGTTGTTTGAGTCACATACTTACGTACGTACGTACACACGTATGTACTACCTCTTTAATGCCACTGCTTAATTTAGAGCTGTACGATTTACGTACGTACGTACTTATTGATAAACATTATGAAGATCACATTGGAAACGTAATTTAGAAATTTTTTGTCCCATACTGTACACGTAAGATACGCTCCGGATCAATTATGCTACGCATTTTCCTACTTTATTTGTTTTAAGGTTTAATGTATTAGCAATAGAATACTCAAGTAATTGATTTTCAGGTGTTAGTACTGTAAAAATGTTTCAGGTTTTCATTTATATGATTAGTAATCCACGTCGTTCAAAACATGAACACTGACTGACCAATAAGATAGTCGTGGAACATTGTCGCGCAAAACCAGAAATAGAATGTGTAATTTCGGTGTAACGGTAATGTGAATGTAATGCCAATTTATTTAACATATACAAATATAATAGCTATATGATTAGAATAATTTATAAAAGTAAACAAAAATAAAAGGGTTAATACTACTAAAACACTATGTCTATAACATATTTTTATTTGATAACCTCAAAATTATATATTGCTTATTTACCTTTCAGGAATCCAATAATATTTGGGCGATAAGGTCAGACCAATTTGATTCTCTGTTTTACATTCCCCCCCCCCCCCCCCCCTTCATAGTAAAAAAAAATTCTAATTAAAGTTAGTACCGACAGGGAATTTCGATGTAGACAGTGAACAAACCTAGAATACGAGCAGGGTGAGCAAAAATTTGGGAAAAGGTCCGGAGAATCCCGAAAAAGAAATTTTGGCCAGAAGATAAGGAAAAATTTTTATATATAATATGTTCAAACCCACCCCCTTCGTTAATATCTTAAATTCTCATTACATATTATAGAATTCAGTATTATATAACAGGAAGAATTTAAGTCTTGATATAATTAATATAATAAGATCTCTTTAATAATAAAGTCTTTAATGATTTTTTTTCAATTAAACTCGTCATCAAACTTGTCATAATACTGATGCTAAATCTAATAAACAAACCATGATATAGAAATTATATATGGGTTTCATGCGTGCGCGTTAATGCGCATATTATCCCATCTATATTTTATATAGGAATATTAAAATTGATACAATTATATAATCTATATAATTAGGCTAGTGAGCTTAATGCCGAGCAGAATTAAGTAAAAGTTCCGAAAAATTCCGCAAAAAAATGAATGAACGCAAAAGACGAGAAGGGTAAAAATTTGAGCAAAGTGCCATAATTTCCGAAAGGAAAATATAAAATCAAAATTATATCATACGTTATCATGCATATTTTATATAAAATGCATATTTTCCTATCACTAATAGAAACATAATAATTCATCGGATCTTTAAAGGCGGGCAGATAGGTCTAAATCAAGTGAAAATGAATGTAATTTAACCAAATGGAAAGTCTGCGCTGGTATTGAACAGATTTTTAAAACATTGGATAATCTAAAATTGAAAATTCAGAAAGAACTGTAAATAAAAAACAGGCAAAATGATAATAAATAGTAAGCCTTTATATTTAAATCGATGGCTAAAGAATTTTAACATACTTTATTATCATAATATTATAGAATAAAATTTCTTGGATCACGCAACATTTAGTTGCATTTTTATTATTACTATTATTATTATACCATTAAACGGTATTTTTAGACATGAATAATACATAATAATCCCTAACCCAATCAGATGCAAATCACGAAACACTTCACTCGTTGCTAGTATGCGCGAAATCACATTATATATCAAACTATAGATGAAATGTGAAAAAAGCATGTTCAATAAAAAAAAGGATTTGTGTGGAAACTTCACATTTCATAAAACTATATACGTCATTATATCGGTACATCTAATATTTTTTTAAAAAAATGTATCCTTATCCTTATTTAGCGAAAAGAAGCTATAATTTTTAAAAAAAGATTAGGCAAGCTAATTATTTAATATTGAATTTCCCTTTCTATAAAATTTGAATAGTGTATAAAATAAATTACTTCATTATTCTTATTTAACTAAAGATGGTATAATTTTCTTTTTTTTTTACAGCCGTTTTTAAAAATGTATGAACAACGATTTCCATACACCTATGTGGGAAATCAAGGAATTTGGAAATTTAAATAGTAAAAATTAAACCTTGGGTCTTGAAAACTTTGGAAATATCGTGAATCCCATGAATGGTGATCTGTAACCGTTTACACCTTTTTGAAAACAGCTGTTAAAGATTAGGTAGGCTTATTATTTAGCATTGAAATTTTCCTTTCTATAAAATTGAATACGTAGTGAATAAAAATAAAGTAACTAAGACTCGTCAAATTTACGTTTATTATTTAATTATATAACTGATATATTCATTGTATGCGTTAAAAAAATAAATATTTATATAATTTAATACAAAAATATAAAAAAAAGACTTTTGTAACAATGTTAAACCGTATTATAATCTCTTTTTAAATAAGCACAATTCAATTTCTAATAAGAAATAAATATTGTATTTACAACTTGCTTTTGCAACTCTTTACATTGGTTCTCTCAATATAATTAAAGAGATTAAACAATTGGGATTAGCATTCATATTGTTTAAAGATTTAATCATTGGATATTTTGGATTAATATTTAAAAATAAATTATTACATCCTTGTCCAGGAGCATCTGGACATAAAAGACTTGAAAAAATGAGGTTATCTTCTTCAGGCAACCGAAAATTATCATTATTAGCCACTTTCCATTTACCAGTAAACAGGCTACGATCGTTAACTAGAAATCCTCTATTTTTTTTTCTCCAAGGTTGATTAGTTGGTCCTTCAACAATAACAGGAATTAATCCACCAGTATCGTTTTCACTAAGCATAGTGCAATTAATTCCAAAATTTAATGGATCATTGTCATTATTATGTTCATTATGACACAAATTTATCACCATTCTATCATTAGATTGAAGGTGACAGCCGATCAGAGCACCTGATCGAGCAAATTGATATTGTGGGTTTTTCCTGCAATTTAAAGTAATAGTAGTTATCCAACAATGGTTATGTGGAATAGGTCGTTCAAGTACAATGGTTGTATCATCTGGATTTTCAATTGGATTTTTAGTTTTAAGATAATTTATAAGGGATTTATCTAAAAATGGTCCTAATGGAAGATTATTCTCATATCCGACAATCATCCAAGGTATTAAGAGATCTATTTGTGGAAGATTGTGAGGGATTGTGCCAATACGGTGAATTACAAAAAATGGAGTCTCGGGATGTGTGTAATCGATGCGAATTGAGAAGACATTTTGATATGGCTTTCTGTCTGATCTGTTAAAAACTGCAGCAAATATCTTACAGTCTCCTTCAGTTGAAATATTTGGCGGCACTGGAACTTGTTCGACAACAGGTGATCTTAAATCATAACCTCTTATTATTTTAACATTATAGACGTTAGAATAGAGCACTTTTATTCCATTTAAGCGTTTTATTTTCGATTGTAAATTTTCAGGTAGCAACGAATAAAGTGATAATTTAGGTCCATAACCAATAATTTCCCATTCTTTACAAGATTCCAAGCTCTTAAGCCAATTGGATGTGCTTTGGTGTTTTGCATGATCACCACCAACAGTTTTATATCGTGTCTCTCCATTTTTAGTAGTCACTTGCATAAATTTTCCACCGAGTTTAATTTCCTGTAGCCTATGTATTACAGTAAATAACGTAATAATTTAATTAATACAGTATTTTTTTTTTTTTTTTATAATAAATATATTTACCAGAAGAACCCGTAAATTTCACTAGCTTTAACTAAAGCTTCTACTTTTTGTATATCAGTCAATTCTTCGTCCAATGCATTTTCAATAACTTCAATATAATCTTCTGTCGCCTCTAAATCTTTATGCGATAATATAATTGAACCCTTTTCACAATACTTAATTACGCACTCATTTAATGCTAATTCCTCATTTTCATAATCCAAAAAATCATACCCTTCTTCACAACCTTTATTCCATAATTCATCGAAGTTCTTAGATGTTTTTTTACAAATGGATTGAAAATTACTATTAAGAGTGATGCTCATCAAATGCGAATTTTTTATAAAAAATGCAGGTTGTTCTGCTCGAATTAGAGAACCGTTATTAAGCTTATAGCCTATCTCTATATTATGTTTGCGTTTAATTTTTGGGAAGCTTGGTAATTGGTTTAACTCTATAGTGAGAGTATAGTAATCATCATCCGCAACTAAAATGTCTTCCAATTTATATTTATCCTCTTGACTAAGAGGAATTTTTCTCTCTAACATATTACGAAAAACTGCATTCTGCCAACCCATTAAGACTTCTTCAGTTGAGGATAAAATTTTTCGTGTTTCTCCCAATGTATTATCTTT